TGCCCAGAAGTGGTTATAGGTAATTTAACAGCACTTAAGATGAAAATGATGTCAGGTAGCCGATCTCAAGTCAACGTGTGCAGTGTAACATTTATTACACTACACATGCAATAAGGGTTAAATGCAACAAAGAAAACCACTTTATCAGCTAACCTCAAACCACTTAATGGGATAAGGATGACAGCTAACAATAGAGACACTGGGTGAGGATGATTATTATAAAGACTGCCTTTGACAAAAGTGTAAACTAGTGACACAAACAAAAGGGCAGAAAATTACAAGGTGTTCAGATCAAATCCTCAAAACCTGAATGGAATCAGAGGCTTCTTCTGCCAACATGGTATCAACATTCCTTTAGTTCCATTCGTGGTTCATTAAACAGTTGTTCTTGCACATATTATAACAGACTGAACAGACAGCCCACCAGTCAGGCTGTGGTATAGCTTTACTTTGTGGTTTAGTGTGAGTACATATATGGATACTTAGCTCTGACGTTGGAGGAGGGTCGTCTGAGATTCCATTGACCACGTGTTTTGTTAAACCTTAAAAGCAGAGAACTGCAGAAATGAACTACAGTGTTTTTCCTTCAAGAGTTGCCTCACACTCAGATTTAAAATTGCCTTGTGGATGGAATCTGATGTAACTAAAGTAGAGGAAATGATGCTACACAGTGGCTCAAGTAACGACTTGAAGACAATCCCTCATTGTTCCCTTCAGGTACAAACCCAAGACACACAGAGGAGCAGTTGAAGTAGAAACATCAAAATTAATGTTCACCTAGTTCATAGATAGTTGCTACACCATCTACCAGTCACTGCTGCGCTCTCTTTACCCTTGTCGCTCTAAGAAAAACAGACATTTGGTGTCCTGCCGTTTGACTTTGTGACTGACGGCTTTGATTATGAAACATGAACTTGGCCAAACACCAACTCAGAGCTGGAACCCTGCCCTGTTTCAGAACACCTCCAGGAATGTATGATCAAACATTCAGTGTTCTGATTTATGAGATAACACAATGCCAGCCAAAATATTGTTATTGTAAAAAGGAACAAAAACTCAGTATGCCCTGCAGGAAACAGCACACAACAGTATTAAGAGATACAAATCAGACTGTATAGACCATCAGATATACTCTGATATTGGTGTCAGATTTATAATAGTGCATTTTATCAAGTGATCCTGTTGAATAATTGACATTTTACATACAAAAGTGACGTCAACCTGAGAGGCTTCAGTGACCATCCAGTGTGCCATAAATCAAACCCCTGAAACTGAAAGTAAAACAGAACTATGAGGCTCTTCCAACAACTGGAATAAGGTGGATACACGATTCATTGTTAATACAATAAAAACACTGTACGTGATTGTGGCTGGTTGTTTAAATTTGTGGTTGGTGTGAATGAACAGTGACAAAAACAACTATATCACTTCAAAAGAATAGTTGACCACAGACTGCCTTCATGGTGAATATAAATTCAGAGTGAGCTTGGACAGGTATCAGCGGCCTTATTTTTTATTTGAGCAACAGAAAGGATGGTTTTTAGCTATGCTAAATGTATGGCTCTGGGGTTCTGTCTGAAATATCTATACAATTACTGGGAATTAGTACAAACATTCATGGTCCCCCCACAGGATGATTCCTACTGACTTTGGTGACAGTCCATTCAGTCTCAGCTGTACTTTGTGTTTATTACATTTCTTTGCCATTATGTTGTTCACCATTTGCCACACTAAGATGGTGAACAAGATAAACATTGTACCTGCTAAACATTAGAAAGTTAGCACTGTCACTGTGAGCATGTAAACATGCTGATAAAAGGACTTAGCTCAAAGCACAAAGCACCTCCATAGCTAAATAGAGCCTCACAGAGCCATTAGTGCAGAGCTAACAGTATATTCAGATTATTGGTGTGCAAGTTTAAAACTGTAATGATTTATAGCGTTGATCAGAAGAACTACTGAACACTTGCTGTTAAAGTATTTAAATCCTGCAGTAGTGCCACTTTTTTATTTATCTGGGAAAGTATGTATTCAAATGTCTCAAGATTTTTGTCTTACCGAGGAAAGAGGAAGAGGAGGAGGAGGAAGAGAAAGAAGAAAAAAAATAAAGGAAAAAGGAAGAGGAACAGCCACGTGTGCCGTTGTGGGGGGGAGTTAGGACGATTCTAAGGGCCCACGAACTCTGAGGGCCCACAGAGACTAGCTTTGGGTGAGGTAGAGGGCCCAACTTCAAATTTTTTCATAGGGCCCAAAACTGCTAGCGGCGCCCCTGGGAGCAGCTGCAGAATGCATCATTATGAAGAGGCACTGGAAGTATCAGCAGTTCTCAAGGAGGTGAGGTCATGCTTGCCTACAGAGATGATGAAGGTGACATGTGGCAGCGATCGCTCTACAGCTTTGTCAGAGGGGGATCACCAATTCACTGGTGGAGAAAGGCACAGACATAAACACACAGGTGCCACAAAACCACAGCAGCAAAAACAAACGGCTATTTACTGTCAGTGTATAGACACAGCAGCATAAACCTGGGCATTTGTTCCAGGCTGCGTCTGATGCATTTGGATGGGCACCTCTGTTTTAAGCTGTAATTGCAGACCATGATGGAGCGGTGTAGACTTTACTGCAGGTTGCTGACCTTATTCCAAACAGTGGGTGTACTACTGCAGCACATGTACATTTGTATCTGATTTGACTGTCAATGTGCTTGTTGGGAGTGTTTTTATGTTTAGCATTATATTTCCTCTGTGTATCTGTGGGTAATTACAAAAGATTTGTACTAGGACTGTACTTGTCTCTATTGTTAAAATATTTTGACTTTCTGTTCTTTGTAGGTGTCTGTATATGTGCTGATTGTGGCAAGTGTGTTTGCAGTTACATTAACATGCATGCTTGTGTGTCATCTCATGTGGAAGGTCGCTGCAAGAGTGGCAGTGGCAGTTCTTTGGAGCAGTTTGATTTTCAGACAGTCCACATTAGAAGGAGAAAATATGAGAGTGACCTGAAAGATGCACAACCAGTTTTGACCCCACCCAGACAATTGTTGATTGAAGCATTGTAGCAAGCAATGTTTGCAGTTTCAATTTATCAGAGAGCAAATATACACAAACTAGATGGAGACTGGCTGTCCCCACTGTCACAACTGCTGCTGTCCAAGATGGAAAGCAGGGAACAGCAACTGTGCTTTACATTTTGTAGTGCTGAGTCAAATTTTCTTTACATGCCTGATTTGTTTCTAGCTCTATTGTATTGTATCCTGTAACACATCCTGTGGCACAAACTGGAATGTCCTGCACTGAGTTAGGACAAACATCATATCCCCCAATATATCCTTAGATGCAAATACACAATAATAGCTCTTCTGCCTAAAAGGTGAGGTAAAGTAACTTTAGCAAGAACATGGTCAGTGTCAGAGGAAAGTATAGCACACATTTGGAATCAGTGATAGCACAGTTAATCTGATCAGCAGAAAAAAAAAAAAAAAAAAAAAAAAACAGACCCCCCCCCCAAAAAAAACAGATCACTAATTTTGACATGTAGAAAAAAATAGAAGATGAATTAATCAGGGAGTCATATTTCTGAAATTTGTTTGTCAGTGCTTCCTTTCATACTTTTAGGGACTTTTCATGTTGTACAATTTGCTTTTGCGGTTTGTTTGCCTGTGGTTATCTGGTTTATGCTGCTGACGTTGTGTTGGCAAAGGTTCAAAGAGCAGCACAACTACTAAACTGTGCCAAGTAAGCTTAAGCTTTCTAACAAGGCTCCCAAACCTTTCTGTTACAGAGACCCTACAGGTATGGAGCCTGTAAAATTGAGAGTAGTTTTGTTATGGGCAGTCAGATCAGAGAGCTTCACAGAAGCACCTTTACTTTTTACCCTCACGGTCTCTGTCCTTACAAAACTACCCATATTTGCTATAGGCTTTGTAAAGGAGGACTGTAGACTCAAATCAAATAAAATGATTTTCTCGACTATGCCTAATAAATGTCTACTGTATATTCTTTTCAGTTTCATTCATAAATCCAATGCAAATATTGAAATGAAAATGTGTTTTGGATTGAGTTTTAAATACAAACTCTGTAAACTAGAATTGAATTCAGGTTGGACTGCACTGGGACACCTGGTCATGATATCCAAACAGTGCCACTCCCCAGACAGTGTACTCAAAGCATTTTACTCTGTTGAAGTCATCCTGCCAAGGCCAAAGTTGAGCAATTAACAACAGAATTTTGGCACCTACTGTAATCATCAAACAGGATACTGTAAATTAGTTTCCATTTTAAAACATCAGCATAAAATATCTCAGAGAACATTTGTGTTTTTCAGATGTTGAAACACTATAGATCTGCTGATTTAAGGGGAAAAAAGCCACTCCCAAAAGTCATGGCTCAGCAAATATTGTAGGTGTTGTTCTGGTGAAATATTTTGAAGTATACCATTCAATTTTCCCACAGTTTAAAATGTTTAGTGAGTAGACAATGAAGATTATTAAGGGTTAAATTCTCTGGTTGACATGAACTATTTACATATAAATGATTCAGTTGGAGTGTTGTGACTATAACTGACCTGGATTTTGGACTTTTGACTGTGTTAATGTTGTACACTGAATTATTTAGTAATTCCCACTTGAATGACACATTAAGTCCCTGATAACACCTGGACAATGCTTATCTTGGAAAATAAATGCTAGAGTCACACAACAGTTCCAAACCTATTGACAGGTAGTTGTTGGGGACACATAGCCTTCATTTTGATTTCATTTCCAACCAGCAGTAAAATTACACTGATGACAAATGTTAACAAACTAGTGTGTTTCTTATTCTACAACAGGAATTGTAAGCTCATCATTATATTATACGCTATTATATATAAAGTAAGATGTGTACAAAGAACAAATTTGTGAAAATAACGAACTCTTTTTTACTTTTTTTGCTAAATGTGTGGTGCAATATGTAAATTTTGATGCAACACAAAAGAAAACAGCATTATTGACCAATCGTATAGAGGCGCTGTGCATGGTTCGGAGCTACAAAATATTTGCAACAGAAGAAGACTTCCAGAGAGTAACGTGGTGACGCCATACGTACGTCGCAAGTCCCGCACTTACGCGTATCCTGTTAAGTTATAATGCAACATTTGAACCTAAATTTTTCCCATTTGCATAGGTATTTACAGTTATTCTCTGTTGTTTAACTATTCTGAAACGAAGTCGGCATCACCGTCAACATGGCGGGAGTTATACGGAGGCTTGACGAGACTGTTGTCAACCGGATAGCTGCAGGAGAAGTTATCCAGCGTCCTGCCAACGCGGTCAAAGAGCTGATTGAAAACTGGTAACGTTAACTGAGTAGCCACACAGCAACAGTTCGTTTTGATAATGTATGCCAATGCTGGGTTTCCACTAGTGGCGTAAATAGTCATTAGTGGAACCAGTAAACGTGAATATGGTATATGGTAGCAGCGCTATTGTTTACTTCACGTCTGTTGAAAAGCTGTTTATCGGTCCCTGTAATATAGTAACAGTCTTATCCAGGCTTATCTTGTTTGATAATTTCTCTTCCCAGTTAACACGGCTGTATAATAACTACAGCATATATTTTTTAAATGTTACAGTTTGGACGCCAAGTCCACCAGCATTCAGGTGACGATAAAAGACGGCGGGCTGAAACTCCTTCAGATTCAGGATAACGGTACTGGAATTAGGGTGGGTCCACATGGGGGAAGCATCCTTCTCTTTTTGGTGTTGTCTGTAAAAATGTACGGTTCAAACTGAGAATCCAAATTGTATTGCCTCTCGTCTTGTTGGGTTGTATGTCATATAACTACAAATTAATGCCATGATGTTCTAATGTGTGAGTAAAAACAGGTTAAAAAAACAGGTAACGTGCAAAGAAATAAGATACTTGAGACAGATGTAGTTTGTGCCCTCTGTAATATCTAATCTGATCTTGGCTGCCCTCATTGACTAAGCTTTCTTTCACTTATGCAGAGAGAGGATATGGAAATAGTTTGTGAGCGTTTTACCACCAGCAAACTCCAGACCTTTGAGGACCTTTCAGCTATTGCAACCTACGGATTCAGAGGCGAGGTGAGCAGTGCTGCTAGCCCTGAACTCTGGATCAGTATCACTGCTGACACAGGATTGTTTTATGTACACATATTGTATGTCACATTCACTGTCTGCTTTTGTTTGCAGGCCCTTGCTAGTATAAGTCACGTTGCCCATGTGACCATAACGACTAAGACAGCCGATGCCAAGTGCGCCTACAGGTGTGATAGCATCATCTGTCATGCTTCACTCATTTGCTTCCTTGCATTCTTGAAGATTACATGCACATTGCAATAGCTATAACATAACCAGTGTGGCAGAGCTTTTGCAACAGATCTATTCTTTTCTTCTGTGATTGTGCAGAGCCAGCTACAGTGACGGCAAACTTAAAGGTCCTCCCAAACCATGTGCTGGCAACCAGGGAACACAGATTCTTGTGAGTTCATTGAATACGCGGCATCTTACAGAATGAAGTTTACAGCTGGTGAGAAACTTCCAATAGTTTTCTCTCCCTGTCTGCAGGTGGAGGATCTCTTCTATAATGTGTCCACCAGGAGGAAAGCTTTAAAGAGCCCCAGTGATGAGTACTCCAGGATTGTAGATGTTGTCAGCAGGTCTGTTGTCTTACTCCTTGTGTCTCTCCTGATTCCTTTTCTTGATGAACATGGTATTTGGAAAACATCTGTACTCACACATGATTGTGTTGTTTTGAAGGTATGCCATTCACAATTCAGGAAAAAGTTTTTCTGTCAAAAAGGTGAGATGTGCCTACTTTCTGTTTGTTAAATACCTGATAGCACTACATTTCCATGTGAGCTTCCGTAGTATCTGTTTGTTTGTGAGTACACTAAGAAAAATTGTAAGATAAGACTAAGTGCATATTTATTTACTGTCATTTTACTTGTTTATGTTTTCCTGTTTTCTGTTCCTGCTTCCTTTTCCAGCAAGGAGAGACAGTGGCAGATGTGAGGACCCTACCTAATGCATCTGTGGTGGATAATATTCGAGGGGTTTTTGGTAGTGCAGTCAGCAGGTATGAATCGACCAAGAAAGGAAAAAAAAATGCTTTGATGCTCTCTGCAGTTATGTGACCTCTTACCAGCTTTATGCTGACTGCATGACTGCTTCTGTGCTATGTTGCTAGGGAGCTGATCGAAGTTGGCTGTGACGATCAGAAGCTTGCTTATAAGATGAAAGGCTACATCTCAAATGCAAACTACTCAGTCAAGAAATGCATCCTAATTCTCTTCATTAATCGTATGTATCAAGGAAAAGTTATGGGAAATGAAGCTGACCGGTTAATCTTGTTAGCACTTTGTTAAATGGAGACTGTGGTCTGTGATGTCAGATCGTCTGGTGGAGTCGAGTGCTTTGAAGAAAGCAATCGAGACAGTTTACGTGGCGTACCTACCCAAGAACACGCACCCTTTTCTTTACCTCAGGTAAATTAACATGCAGTTTGCCTGTTTCCTACAATGAATTCTGTGTTGTTTCTGTTCATTTTATATGCACTGGTGCTTTCTGATCACCTCAGCCTAGAGATCGCCCCACAGAATGTAGATGTGAACGTTCATCCCACAAAACATGAGGTGCATTTCCTGCATGAAGACAGCGTCATCGAGGGCGTTCAGAGGCATATCGAGAGCAAACTCCTTGGCTCCAACTCTTCACGCACATATTTCACTCAGGTATGGTATGACTGATCACTATCTCTGTAAATATGCTGGCATCATCACAACAGTCCTGTTGTGGGTCTTTATTTCCTTGGACATACAAAAAGTGTATATTGTGACGCATACACTGTGTGTCTCTACAGACATTGCTACCAGGGCTTTCAGTCACAGGTGGCAGTGAAGTCAAGTCCTCCTGTACCACACCACATTCTACTGAGAGAGTCTATGCACATCAGATGGTGAGGACCGACTCTCGTGCTCAGAAGCTAGACGCCTTCCTTAAGCCAAAAGAGAAGTCGCCTCCTGGCCCTGAAACAGCTGGTTCCAGTAGCGAGGAGGCCAACGCCACAATTGCCCAGCCTGACAGCATGGAGATGGACAACACGGATGACGCAGACATGCTGGAAGCCCTGGCTGAGCAGGAGGCAGAGGTGCCAAGGGGCGAGGAAGAATGCAGTCCAAGTACTCATGACGTTCCCAGGTGATTCACTTCTTTTTATATCTGACTTGTGCCAGAGCTACAGTAATTAAGCTGAACCCTTAAAGCAGGCATGTGCATTCAGCTGAGGATTAAGCACTCAGTCAGTTCTGTCATGAGCAGCCCAGACAAGTCCAATCAGGACAGGTAAACATGTATGAGCACTGACCAACAGCTAATGGGTTGAGTAAGAGAGCAAGAGAAAGAATGAATGCATCATCACTTGTGAATGATGTCATTCCCTCAGGGCCAATCAGTGAATCATTTTGCTAGTAGTGCAATAGTACAGTATGACTGACTTGCAGAAAGATTTAATAGGTTGCATGGGGTGACTGCTCTCTGAGTCATTTTTGAAGTTCCGCATATTGTCATGAAGCAAATTTACACTATAGTTTGGCCTCAGTGCATTAATTAATCCAGTTTTCTGCAAAAGGTGATACAACCAGTGTACACCACCTGTGAGAGAAAACAGGTGGAGACTAGCAGGTGAAGAAGAGTCAAAGATCCAGCAGCTGAACATCCTTGTATTTCTCTCAGTAGTTGGCAGAAACCAAAGGCGGCTAAAAAGAGGGTAAATACTGAAGATATTCATCAGATGGGCAGAAACATGAATGCTAATGTTGTCTGTGTCTGCTGGTTGTCTAAACTGGTAGCTTTTTGCTAACCTGGCCATTAGAACCTAAGAAATATCTTATGGCAAGGCTATATTAATCAGATTGTGGATGGCTTCTTTCCCCATGTGGCTGAAAAAGTACTTCATGTAGTCTTAATTTGTCAAATACAATACATGCTGCATTCATTTATGCCAGGACAAAAACTCTGCCATGAAGTCTGTGATAAAATGTGTAAACATTGTCATAGCCTGAAAAGTCTCTCAACATTTCTACTGTAAGCCGGTGTGAGTTGGTGCCTGGACAACACAAATATTTGTAAACATGCAGTGTGGTATTGTGAACCAGGAAATGTTTGTAAACATGCAGTGTGGTATTGTGAACCAGGAAGTGTCCAAGTAAAGAGCAGCAGAAGCAGCAGCAGCAGCAGGAGGATGAAGAGGACGTGATGGCTGCAGCCACGCCCAAGAGACGGGTCATAAAATTGACCAGTATCAAAGAGCTGAGAGCTGAGATCACTGAGAACACACACAAAGGTAAACTAAACAAAGCTAAACATTTGGATCATACCTCTGATGCGGTTGTCTGTGCACAGACTACAACTCAGAATAGATTGAAGTTTACTTCTCGACGTTATTTTCCTGGTTGGAGTATGCGCATATTTTCTCTAGGTCTTCAAGAAGTGCTGCAGAACCACTCGTTTGTGGGTTGTGTGAATCCCCAGTGGACTCTGATCCAGCATCACACCAAACTCTACCTACTCAACACCACCAAACTCAGGTCAGACTCAGATGCCTAAGGGAAAGATTTATTGAAACAATTCATCAATAGCACATAGGCTGAATCTGGATCTGCTTCTTTAAATACACTTTCCCAAGAAGTATCTTGAAGAGTCTTTCTGAAAATACCTACTTATTTATTGCATTAAATTTTCTGTAAATTTCTTGGCTATTTGAAATATTAAAGTGTTCAGAAATAACAAAACCCCCTGAATAAAGTGCTTTACTAAAGTGATTATTAAAAATATCATTAAATGTGGCAGATATACAAGTCACTCTTGTTGATTTATAAATAATGAGCATATAGTAAATTAATAGTCTTTAATAAGGGCATGTAGCTATGACTTAAAAGATCCAAGTCTCCTGAAAAGAGAATTTTTTTTTTCTGGATTTTATAAGAGGAATGCATTTCTACACATACTGACTCAGTATCAGCCCTCTGTCTTCAGATATACAGAATAAATTCAGTGTTTTGTTTCTGTTGCAGCCAGGAGCTCTTCTACCAAATACTGATCTATGACTTTGGGAATTTTGGCATCCTAAGGCTGTCTGTAAGTAAAGTCTACATTGTGAATGATGCTACACAGGTTCTGATTCTCATGGCTGATTATGTGCATTCAGACACCAGCTCCACTTTATGACCTGGCCATGCTGGCTCTGGACTCTGAGGACAGCGGCTGGACAGAAGAGGACGGACCCAAAGAAGGCCTGGCTCAGTTCATAGTGGACTTCCTGAAGAAGAAAGCGGAGATGCTAGAGGACTACTTCTCCATGGAGATAGACCAGGTCAGTTGGGATTGTGCAAATTTCTGCAACAACCCTGCACGCTGCCACTGCTCACCTGTTTACTCATAGCAAGCCATGCTGTAAAACTGAACTTCATGCATTGTAGGAAGGAAATCTAACAGGACTGCCACTGCTGCTTGACAAGTACACCCCTGTCATGGAGGGTCTCCCCATGTTCATCCTACGCCTGGCCACTGAGGTTTGGGTCTTGTCATTCTCTCCTCATATCTTTGGAGACAACTGTATTTGAAAGCTTTTTTTTGCAGGTGAACTGGGACAATGAGAAAGAGTTTTTCAGAGACTTCAGTAATGAGTGCAGCATGTTCTACTCAATCAGGAAGCAGTACATCCTGGAAGCTGAGCAGGTAGGGAGGAACCCAACACTCGCATCTGGAAAAACCGCTAATATACCATACATATTGGAAATTAATTGTGTTACACACATTAATGACAAAGAACTGAAATGAGTGTTGTTTGTGCTGCAGGTTGCTGAAGTGGACTCATGGCATTGGAAAGTTGAGCACATTATCTTCAAAGCTTTCCGAACCCTCTTCAGTCCTCCAAAGCACTTCAGTGAGGATGGCACTGTGTTGCAGATTGCCAACTTACCTGATCTCTATAAAGTGTTTGAAAGGTGCTGAATGTCATTGTCAAAGGAACGACTTAAAAAAAAACCAAAAAAAAAAAACCCTACATGCTGCTGTTTTATTGATGTAATATTTGTGCTGTAAATAAATATTTAGTATGAAACATCTTCAGATGTTTTACTGAGAGAATCCATATTTCATGACGTATGATTCCTCCCTCACAGGAAGTCTTAGTTCTGAATGGCCTATTTAAAAGTGCCATGCCTTCACATGGCTTTCTGTAAGTAAAACTTTGGATTTGTAGCCAGGAAAAATGGAACTGGGTCACAGGTCCCATAATGATACCTGAAGCGTGCCAGGACACGAGCTTGACTGTTATTTTTACGTTTCCTCCTCCAGTCTGAGACATGGTGTGGAGCGATAAGAGCTCAGCTTGGAAATGAACACCTCCACTTAGCCACACCAAAATAGCAAAAGATTTAGATCAGGAAAAGATTCAGATTGTATACGCAGTTCTGTAAATTACATTTATTTTCAAGAAATCTTTTAAATATTTTCAAAAATTTCACAAACTGCAGCAGACGCGATCGGTTCATTATATTTTCAAATAATGACTGCACCTTTTTTTAAATACATCATTCTGTACCTGGAAAACAACTACTGTTTTGTTGAGCGGTGCAGAAAAGGCACTTAACTGTGTGAGGGGAAGGTGCGGGGCCCAGGCGGCCCTGAGGGTTAAATAGTTGAAAAGCATCGTTATACTCATTCATGCAACTTATCAAAACAAATACAGTACAGCCAAGCACCCAACCAAGAGAAAGAAAATCTTGTGGATAACGTGTCATACAAAGCTCTGAAAATTAAGTAGTGACTAGAGAAATTTCCTCAGATGAATCTCCCTGCAACTTTAGTTTTATTAGTTAAGTTTCTGAGTTATCCCTCTCAAAATGCTGGCAGCTTGCCAGACAAAATGGTTCATTTTTTGCCTGTGCTACAAGTTTTCTTAAAGTGTTTTTGGTTAGCTACAAATCTTAAAGTGTTACAGCTGAAAATGGAAATGTTCCAGACGCAGAATGGCAGAGGCCTGAGGTGGCAATTTAAGGGCTTCTGTAGGGACGCTGCCTTGCCTCATTGCTGTGACAGAAAGGCGTTCCTGTTGGCCTTCATCTTCTCAAGGCGCTTTACTAGGTGGCTGTTAGTCATCTCCATCTCTTCCATCTTATCTAGAGCTGTACGCAGCTGTGGGAGAACAAAGGGGCAATGTCACATTCAGCGTGCTGATGTTTCCTGCTACAAAATGCAGGGCAGTCTGTTTTTACCTCTCTTTGCAGTTTCCGTTTTTCTGCTTTAAGTTCATCTTCTACTTTCTCTGAGTTATCTGCTGCTGCCTTGTACCTGGACACTTGCCCTTCAAGTCTACCAATCTGGAAAACAGACACAAACTGGTGACATGGAGTCCTAAAACAAACATTTTCATACCTGTGTATCATGTCTCTATCACTTTATGTGGACTATTATTAGACCTAACAAGACATCTGTTTTTCCACTTACATTTTGCTCCATTGTAGCCATTTCCTGTTCTGCCTTAGAAAGTTTGAATTTGTATTCACTAATCTGTCTGTTGGCATCTCCTGCAGAGAAAACAGAAACCAGTGAGTTTGAAAGTACAAAAATATTTTTGTGTATGCAGATAATTTGTGAATGGTCATGTAGGGAAGCCAACTTACTCTGCATCTCAATAAATTGTAGGTCTGTACCATTCTCGATCCTCTCCCCGTCTGTGTACGTACTGTCCACCATCGAGTGTTTCTGTCTCTCCTCCTCCAGCTGATTCTTCAGCTTCCTGATCTGAGCCAACAGTTCGTCCTTCTCCTCTGCCAACTTCCGTAGCCTGACATCTGTAAAACAGGAAGAAAATACATTTAATCTATGCAGTTTACAGTAATTAGAAAATTTAGCAGGAGAAATACTGTATATTCTACTGCATGGACCAATAGAAGCATGTGCAGGCATGCTAGAATACAAGATTATTGAAGTGTGAGGTAAGAAACATTGTTATTACAAGTTCTGATACATATAAATGCACACCCCATCTTATCAATGTATTTAACATCATTGTAAAGGCTTTCTAGACAGGAATCACATCCTCTGACTCACCCAGCGGGCCCTCTCCAGCAGACTCCAGCACCTGGGCGGCCTCCTGGGAGACCACAGTGATCCCTGAGGACAGAGGCTCATGGTTGACATCTCCGTTTGGTGTGCCGTCTGGGATAATGACCAGCCCGTGTTTCTGTGGTGAGAGAACCTAGATTACTGAGGAACAGCTCCACTCTCTGCTAGCAGAAGATTCACAGCATAAACAGTGTCACCGATAAAAATAATAATATCAGTGTGTACAGTAGCCAAACACTGGGAGCCCAAATAAGCCTGAGGGCACAAACTAAAACTCTATAGTAGGCTGTGTCAGGACTTGCATAATCGAAATAACAAGGACCTGAAATATTCTGGTTGTGTTCAGAGATGTTTGCAACAATATTTAGATTATATTGTAAGTTTCATTTTCAAGAAACCATGCTAGGATACTGAAACTATAGATTTTTTTTCCTCATCATGCGTTTGCAAAATATCAGATGCTTGCTGTTATGTGTTTGCGCTTTGGGAAGTTAGGTTGGTGAGGTCTATGTACAGTGACATTACAGGCACACCCTCTATAAACAAATCAACCGGTAATGTGATATTAGCACACTGCAGTCAAGGTCAAATACAGATCAACATAAACACAAAGATCAAGTGGATGGAAGTAAAAAGTAAAAACACAGTAGCAGGTTATTAACTGGCCTTAAACCAAACAGAAGAGTATCAAAAGTTGTTTGCATCTCATTCTTCTACGCTTAGTGGACCTACCTCTCCTGCTTTGGCCTTCTCCTTGATGTCAGTGAGCTCATCTCTGAGCTCATCTCTCTCATTCCTAACGCAATCAAAGTACTCTTTCTGCCTCTCTAGTGCCTGGCCACACAGATGGGAGAAGAGAAGAGAAGAGGCAGAGGAGAAGTTGGACAGACTTTGGACAGACATGCAATATAACATGCTACAGCAATGTTCGATGCACCAACATGCACTGAGCACCTCAAGCCAACAAGACAGGTGTAAAAACAAACGACATAGGAAAAGATGACATGCTCACACAAAATGTTAGTGGGAAAGGTGGAGCGGAGAGCTCAGGGGCTGGTGAGTTTGGAAGGAGGGAGATCATTTCTTCTGATTTTGCACTCACTGAAACACTACACAAGTATGATTCATTGTTAAGGGGCTGACTTCAGGAGCTAACATTAACTGATCCACAGGTAGACCATGCATGTTATACTAAAACATATGGAATACATTTCTCTTTAAGTGTACATGACAATTCTAACAAAACTATTGTTACTTCACAGGCCCTCTACTGCGGGGTTCAACACAGTTACTATGCATTATTAGCTGAAGTTATGAAATCCAAAGGGAAAACCCTGTTACTTTGACATGCAAAAAATCAAACTGTGAAAGTGGATGGGTCCAGGTATGTGCTTATGCTGAAGGGTCTCCATCATGCAAAGACAGTATGAGAGGCAAGAGAGCAGGATGGACACTACAACCATCTACTGCCTCTCCTACTCTGTCAGAGCACCAGTGTGGGACCGCCTACCCCGATCTTTTTGTCCTTCCAGTTTATCGTTTCCTGCAGGTCAAACACCTCTCTGGTGAGTTCATCTAACTTAGTCTGCATTTGCTGGCTCTTCTGTAGAGATGTTGAGCAGTAACAAGACGACACAACACAGAGTAAGAACAGAGCAGGGAAAATTGAATGGGGCACCCAGAAGAGAACGGAACAGGCAGAAACACTGATACAAAAATGAGACAGAAACAGGTGGAACAGTGTGAGAAGAGACTGATAATGCTGGGAAGGAATGATTATGTTCAGACTCAGGAAAATGAAACAACTAAATATCAAAGAGGCGGAGCAGTCCACTGGGACCTAGAGATGGGCCAGTGTCAATCAATCCTTATCAAAAGTTGCTATAGAACAGAGCGTCCTCTGCAGCGTGCACAGAGGCACCAGTACCTTTTGAGGTGTTGTCAGAATAGTGGTCTGGTGTGGCCACACTGGCAGAAATAGTTTATTTTCCTAATGCGAGGGAAGCCTTACCTCTATAAGCTCATCTCTCTGGCGGACTCCCTCTTTCAGTTCTTCTTGTTTATGCTGCAGGACTGTACATGTGTGTTTTTGCCTTTCTAGTTCCTGAAATCACAGACAAAACATCTTATCCATAACTCTTCCAGTATTTTACATAATAGGCTTCAGAGCTTTTCCTTGACTGAGTAATGTCTCACCTTTGACTTTTCTTCCAACTCCCTCTTCAGCTCTGCCATTTGTTCCTCCATCTCTTCTATGACGTCCTTTAATGTGTCCACTTGATAGATGAGGTTACCCTTGTCATTGTCCAGCTGTGCGTTCGATACCATGGCTTTCTTATACTTCTCCTCCACCTCTGCGAGTGACTCCTGACAGGGGTGGACAAACATTAATGAACAGAGTAAACTGAATTAAAGCACAGCTCACCTACATGCATCTGGTGGGCAAAGTAAATTTGTCTTTGTAACACATTTAACACACCAAACATGCTACACACCTTTCTTGTTTCTAAACACAAGATTCATTAAAGGTACAATTCTGCCTAATTTTCCATTTTAAGCAGGTCCTTTGGGACTAATATGTGATGTGCAGTAGTTAAAATGTATAATTCACTTTCAGGAGTGAAACAAGGCAACAGTGTGAAAGGGGATCTGAAAACGAGAAGTACAAGTGAACAGGGAAAGAAGATGAAGAAAAGTAATCTACTGTAAAGTGCATCAGCTGTATCAAATGCTACCAAGAAAAAGCCAGGAGTCAAGTTTGTTAGTGAACTACTCATCAATAAAGCAAAGTGTCCCTTCTAAGAGAACAGGACACTGCTGAAGGTGTGACTGGAGAAGTCATACCAGAGGACCATCCAACAGTGTGCCACTGAAAGCCTGGGTGGAAGAGGAGCCTCCAAATAGGAAGCACCGCTGCTATCTGTCAGCAGGTGGAGCTTGTTACTCTTCTTCTTGCAACCTTAAACCCAGCTGAACCGTGGGAGTGTCTTCATATCATTCCACAACCAGTGAATTGGATCAAAACAGGAAGTGAGGGAAGATCATGCAAAAGAAAAGGGTCATTACGCAATTCAAACTGGGAGCACGCAAAGACACAGCCGTGGTGTTAGGAACTACAGGAGGGAGGCACAGAGTGGCACCAGGGTTAGTGACACCGTTCTGCTCCCAGAGGACAAGAGAAGGCATGCTGTGAGCCCAAGCCCCTCTACCTTAAGCTCTTTAAGCCCTTGCATGTACCGCCCTTCTACATCCTGAATCTGGTCCTTTAGTTCATAGATATCCTGTAGAGCAGATGGAAGGAATGGTTGGAGTGAAGTAGGGCATCAGAGAGAATGAGGGGTATTGAGAACAGACAACAAAGCACCCATGCTGCCATCTTAGACACAGTCCAGCCGGCATACACAATAACCACCCGTATATAAGGAACAGCTACACATGACATCACATCACATCGAGCGCTCCTGTACATATCATGAAGAAAAACTGTTAAAGCAGACAGAGAAGCAGGAGGACACAACAGAGGCAGTGCTTCAGGAGGTTCATGTGCAGAGGGAGCGGATGTTTACATAAATCGCTTAAACACAGAACATGTGGATATAAGCACTGAGAATGTGATGACAACTGAAGGTAAAGCAATATTACTTCACGTTTGCATTTCTACTCCCTTCATCAGGCACATGTGGGTTATGTACACCTTACCCTAAGTTCACTCAGACTGGTGTCTGGGTCATACACGCTACCAGTGTCTGTGCTGCCCCGTCGTGATGAGGTGCCGCCCAGCGATGCCAGAGTAGCTGCTGAGAGGCCTGGGGTGGCACAGCGGGATGACGGCTGGGAACACACACACACACACACACAAAACTCCAGTCAGAACAAAACACAAAAACAGTACAATTCTGACTTGTTGTTCACACCACCTAAAAATGACCCCGCCATCTTCA